GATTTGGCGCTATATAAATAAAATTGAATTGAATTGAATAGAACAAAAAGACTTTAATTTTGGCTTTGCTTTTCCTTTTTTTTTTTTTTTTTTAAAAGATGCCTTCAGATGACTATAACTGGTACATATGAAGGAACACAAAATGAAATGAAACCATACACACTGCAAAGTAAAAAAGTAAAAAACATCTATCCTATGTCAAGGATACAGCACTTTGTGAAAAACAAAATAAAAAAACAATGTTGGGAAACTTCAAAGGACCCTTGGTAACAATAGAAAATGAAGCATAAACAGGTGAACATAAGAGAGTCATAAACAAGTTGAGTGATGCAAAAAAGAAACGTATGTGAAAAGTAACACATTGTAGTGCTTTCTTTGCTTTTTGAAACTTAACTTTGGGCAATACAAAATGTTAAATATAAGAATCACATGTGTCACCAAAGCACTAGTTGTTATATGAGGGTCACAACACACACTTTGGCGTGATGTATTTGGTCTATCAAGGCGATAACAAAAAATTTATTTTTTCCTCACACAGGGCATGGAAATGAATCTTAACCAAGCGTGCATGTGTGCGTGTTATCCAGTGAGTAAAACGCACAAATGGTCTACAGATATCCTGTTTTATCCATCTCCTTTTGTATTACTAAATATGAATCCCTTAACCTCTCTGTAACACAGACACACACAAAAAACTATAGTTTATAGGGTATGGAGCAAATTGTAACACTAGAAGTGAACCTAGAACTAAATCTTTTCTATTTTCAACAATTTTTCATTTTGCTCTCACTCTCTTGTCTCATCATATCTATTTCTTACTTAATCTCCAGTTCATTCTTTGCCCCTGCTTTTCTTGTTTCCTGAATTGTTTTATCCTCTTGTCAAACACCTCACTGTCATTTCACATTGCTTTCACCACAAAGCCACTACAGTGCTAATAACTGAGTGTCTTGACTTGTAAAATAAATACAACCAAAGTTACTTTACAACAAACCCACAAAGATCTTACTAGCAGTGCATCCCAACAGCACAGGAAGATAATTTGAAGAGATGTGATTAGACAGCCAGGAGTATGATGCATGACATATAAGGCGACTGATTCATCCAGCAATGACCATGTAGAAAGAGGTTAAGTGGGGCATGAAAGAGGCCAGTTAGTTTCTTAGTCATCTAGTTGCACAACCATACACTTACTCTGCCAGCCATAAAACTGTTAGAAAATATATCAGTAAGTGAAACAAAGGACCAGTTTGTGAATTAAGAAAGCTAGTTATAAATTAGACTGTCAGCTATGTGGTGTTGAATCAAAAGCTGATATGTATGGTCAACTTTGCAGCTGATAACACTTTTGCATCACTTTGTTTGACAGAGGTTAAAGTTCCCACCCAAAATAAAAAAATGCAGCAAAGGTTTTCTGTGAAGAAGAATGATGTGAGAAAGGTTTTCGAGGAACATTTTAAAGACTGATTTGACTAGTTCAGTCATGGCTGCTACGAGTTTTATTTTTGTATTGTTTTCTTAATAAAAGTCCTTCACCTCTCAGTTGAAAAGAAAATGTAGTTTCTACTTTAGAAAAGCCAAAGATTAGTTTAAATCTCTATTGTGCCACTTGAAATTCTCATTTTTATTTTCAGATAAAGATAGATAAAGATAAAATGCACATGCAATTTTTTTTTTTTTATCATTTCGAAAAAGCCTGCACAG